TTGAAGTCTGCTCGACCCTCAACCCTAAACCCTAAACTCTAAACTCTAAACCCTAAACTCTAAACTCTAAACCCTAAACCCTAAACCCTAAACCCCAAACCCTAAACCCTAAATCCCAAACCCCAAACCCTCAACCAGCAGGAAACCCAAACCTTCCGAAAAGCCGCGAGCTTACAGCTGTGGATTTGCAGAAGGTCTTGAGGCTTAAGGTGTGCCCTAGGCCCAAACCCCAAAGAACCTACCTTCTCAGGGCTCCTGATTGTGATTTTCTCACATATGTCCCCAGGCAGATTTTTGTTCGAGATACTGGTGGCGAATAGACAGGTGCGGACTGGTCATGGATGCAGGGTTTATAAAGCTTTTTGAGAGCTCAGCTGCAAGCACCAGTGTCGTTCCGCTTGCCTAAGGGTTTGAGCCCGTAAACACAAACAAGAATGAGGCTGTGCCAGGAGTTGAACTATACAGCTGCTTCATGCTCAAGGGAGTTGTCACGGAACCTTTGCCATCATCTAGACCACTGCCTGATAACCCCCCGCCGTGAATTAGGAACCCATGTCAGATCCCATGACAAGGGAACGAGTCTTATCATTCAGGCCCGTATACTAGCTAAGGGAGGAAGGATGATCAGCAGCAAGTGGTCTAAGGTTTTCTTCATGATCCTAAAGCCGATCCCTTGTATTTAGTCAGTAAGAAGCCTTAACTCTCCACCTTAAGCCCTACAGGACCCCAAACCCTAGAATATCCTATAAGCAAACCCTGAACCCCCTGAACCGAGAAAAGCAAGCAACAGCAACCCAAAGCCCCCAACCCCCGCCCCTCACGAACAACACAAGAACAAACCGAACACCCCAAAACCCGAAAGCCCCAAATGGCCCCAAACCTACAGCCATCGAACTCAAGTTCTTTCAAGGTTCACGAATCCCAGCCATTTCTCGAACGCCGAGGCAAAGGAAAGGAAAGCCAAAGAAACAAGGCCCTAAACATAAGTCAGAGCTTGGGTGCAAGGTTTAGGGTGTCTGTAGCCCCGAATCTCAACCAAAGCTGTTAGGAGATCCCCCTCCTCTTTAGGATAGGGATGGTTGTCCATATTCTTCCGGCCAACTTAAGTAACTTACCAAGCCCTCAGCTCAGAAAGGACACAAGCGCAGCGAAGGCACGCAGAGCTGCAGGCGTCGTCCAGCCTCCCAAAGTGGCCCTTCCTGAATTTTCGGATTTAAACCCTAAGCCCTAAACCCTTCACTCTAAACCCGAAACCCTAATAACCCTCAACCC